TAAAATGGCGGCCTGATAATTTCTAGTTCAGAACAACCAATATGGTTTGTGGAAGGCAAGAGGATTCTGCCCTTAACCATATATTTCTTCGTGACAGAAATATGCATAGCTGACAACATCATTCCAAGGCCAATGGGTCAAGATTTGATTTTGTTTTTTGTGGCTTTGGATATATACATATATAATATAGGTAATGGTGATGCTCTTCGGCCACTTTAAGACCTCGGCCAACGGTGAAGTTCCTCGGCCACCAAGCATATATAGCTAATGATCCTCGGCTGCTATATATAAGACCTCGGCCAGCGATGATGTCCTCGGCCAATTTTTTGCCGATATATGTTAGCCAAGGTAGTTTGTCAATAACGGATACTCAGGAAATTACCGAGCTGGGCACGATGCCTGTTTATTTTTAAGCCTCGCCGAGGAAGAATATTTGATGACTAATTTCCTTAACCATTCGGCTTACGAGCCGAAGCTCAAGGAAACTGGGGGGCAATGTTTGGACCCGATTTTACACTATCGGTCCGAGCAATCGAGACCATTGAATGAGCAGAATTTTAGACCATTGAAGGACAAAATGGTTGAAATAATTTTCAATTATTATTGAGAAATAATATTGTGATTTTAATCATGATATTATCTTTTAGTAATATATTAAATTATTTAAACCTAATATTTGTCTAAATCCCAATTAATTTGAATGATGGTGGAATATTGGGATATGCACAGTGTCAGATAATGAAGCAAGCAATTCAGTTCAAATTGATTTGGATGTTTGGCAGTGGACGTGTAGATTGAAATAGCTTGGACTGGAGATCAGCATTTGGGATTTGATGATCTTAAAATCATGGTCTTGGATAATGATGAGATAAGGAACCTAGGTAGACTAGGCCTTTTTTGCATGGTGATGGATGTTGTCACATGGGTTTAAAAGATACTGATGGAGTTTTGATGATAAAAGCCTAGGTGAGCTAGGTTTCTTATGAGATGTGATAAACCTAACTTTTATTAGGTTTGAAAAGTCAAAGGAAAAATCGCACAGATCAAATTATGCCTTGGTTTGTGATGCGGATCAAGTTCAGTTCCGCAAATTAGAGTTGTAGTTGGACTCTACAAAATTATATGGCCGTGCCTAGTAGAAGATATGAATGCTATAAATACAGAGGCAGTGGCAACGAGAAAATGACCTCCAATTCAACACACAACTGCCCTGCGCAAACCTCTCAAACATCTTGAGATTTTTTTTTATTTTCTTTTTTTGCCAACAAACCTTCAGTTTGGATAAACAGCACTGTGAATGCAACCGGCAAACACCTTCAATTTGGATAAACAGCACTGTTGTCGTAGAATCAACCGACCAAGGAGCACCTTCAGTTTGGATAAACAGCAATGCATCGAGGCCGACTGGTTACCTATCTAAGTCTCGGTCGAGAAGGGTTTTCGAATCCTTATTGGCAGAGGTCATTTCATTAGCCTTCTTGGCGAAGTGAGGTGTTACAAGTTATTACATTCGGCACATTGAAAGTCGAATTTGATACTGAACTTCGCAGAACTAGCAGCCTTGTCTTCAGGCTCGAGAATCCGAAGGCCGAGACGTGTTCATTCCTCAGCCGCAGTCGCAAGATCAAGAAGTTAGCAACGCGCTCAACGCAACATCAACAAATTTTACTCCTCGACCGAGCTCGGCAGACGAGTTGGCACTCCCCGCATCAACCGAATGATGTAGTTAGCTTATTAGTTACTCGGCCTGCGCACCACATAGACTTTGTAATTTTTAGAATCAATACTAACCCTCTCTTCAACATGAAGCGGCTATACCTAACCCTCTCTTCAACATGAATCATGCATGAATTCTTCAAAGTGCATTGTGCATGAATTCTTCGTCAACGTGAATAGTGAATGAATTCTTAATTCATTCGTAATTAAGTATATATTGTTTGCGAAAGGTGAAACGTGACAGATTTGATTCTGGACCTTATAATTAACCATACCAAGTGCTGTCAAGGAATTTAGACATTAACTCCAGCCAATGATCACGGTTTTATTTTGCCATTAGATTACTAGATTATATTAGATTGCATGTTTTAGCATCTCCATAACATCTTTTATTAGTTTAATAATTCTTCCGGCGCCATGGGACTTGGTTTGATATTCTCCCACTTCTCACTTAATATTCATTTTTATATGATCCGTGTGAACCACACTTTGAAATGCTTACGTCTTTAACTGAAAATTAACCTCAAAGCACTGTTGAAATATGTACTAATTACAGCGAAATTTAAAAAAAAAAATCACACATTACATTGGACATGTAGTTAAACTAAAATAATATCGATATTAGTTAATAGCGAGCGCTGTACTTTTTCAAATCTTTGATAAGCACCGGAAACACTACATATTAGTTGAAATCATTTCGTGGCCAATACTCTATAAATGTGTCTAAATCACTTTGTTCCCTAAAACTAAAGAAATACTGAAGCACTGAGTTGTGGTAGCAGACCAAGTGCCCGCCACTGTTGGTATTCTGTTACTAGTTAGCTTCCTAAAATAGACACATCAAGTTAGCTTCCTAAAGTAGACATATTTTTAACCTTTTTATAACCTTAATAGTTTTTGTATATCTTGATGATCTGGAGTCCTTGCAAGAGCAGGAGAGACTACGACTCTTGAACTGTGACATGACTAGGTATTCACCGAGGAAAATTCTGCCTCGCATCTCTAGCAAGATTGTCGCCAGGGCCAGAAGCAGCTTTTCTCGACAATCGAGTCGGCATCTCCGCTTGAGAAATTCTCTCAATCCAGTTTAAGTACTTCCGCAGTGATTCCGACCCAAGTTATCACATTACGCATAATCAAAATGCCATGGCATTGTACAGCACAATGACACATGAATGAGCAAGATGTTCCCATCCACTCTAGAGGGACCCACCATGAGATGGTTCTCAGATTTGCCAACCCCTTTTTTTCAATTGTATGAAAGCGAGCCGACATCTTCGCACAAACTTACTCAGTGAACTGCATCTAGAAATGTCATAAAGCGATATTCAGCATGGCCGCTCGAAACAAAGATGAAAGTCTCAGGGCCTCCTTAAAGTGGTTCCATGATGAGTTGGCTGAAGGGGAAAGCCTAACGACAGACTCGCTGCCATGGCTTTTAAGCAGGGACTCTACGTCCACTCACCCTTTTTTCAGAAGCTGAACAAAAAGAAGTATGGCTACCTTACCTTGGTGGAGTGCTTTGACGTGACAGATGACCTCACTGACTAGGATGATAAGACCCGAAAGCTGATCCTCAATCATGATCACAACAAAAAACCTAATGGGAAAAGGGAAGATCGTGACATTCCACCTCCCTCTCCTCGTCGGGATGACAAGAGAGGACGTAGAGACAAGCCAGCCTCATCCATGTCAAGGTAATACACTGCCTTGAACACTACTATCATCAACATCCTTCACAGCATCAGGGACAAATGTTACCTTTCCTCAAAGTGTCCAAAGCCGCTCCTGGAACATCTAGCAGAGAAAAGGTTGAACAAATACTGTTCCTTCCACCAATGTACTAGTCACACCACTCGAAACTATAGTACTTTGAAAGACCACAATTGAAGAGCTTCTTGCACCAGGAATGAGGAATCTGTTAAAGGGAAAGACCAAAGTTAGTCTGACTAGCACAATCTTACTGATGATGAGGATGACACAGCAAATAAGCTACCATCAGCATCAACTGCATCTATGGAGAACAGGACATGCCCAAGTAAAGAAAACCTGGCAAATCCGAGCAAAGTTAGGGGATTCCGACAACCTTGACGTCAGACTGACTAAAATAACCTTTTTTTTTTTTTTTGTCAAAACTACACGTAGTTTGATTCTTCTATGACATGGGAAAATATGTAGGCTATCTGTTTTGATTTCAATTACAATTAATTTAAACGTCGTAGTCTGTGTGAGGACAAGTCCATAAAGAACGCATCTGCTCAACGCCTCACAATAGGCTATTGTCAAAGATGATCCCAATGTTGTGGCAAAAAAAAAAAAAAAAAAGATGATCCCAATGTCAAACCTACATTGCATCATTTTTTAAAGTAAAACTACACTATTGATTTGATTCTCCCCAGAGATATGTAGGCAATCCTATTTGAATTCAATCACACCCTCTTATCAATTTACAATATTTAATTTAAATATTTGATTACGCTACAACTTTTGTCTATTTATTCATACTTTTCTTTTTTGCATTATAGGGTATGCCCTAAAATCTCAAATAATACAAGCTTTGAAACTTCGCATAATTGCAAGTCTAAAAATTCAAAGTGATAATGTCAAAGAAGTCTCTTTTAGCCCATTTCATAGTATTTAGTTAACAGTTTCAGAGGCTTGAGCCGTATTAAGCGCGGTTATGATAGGTTGACTACCGACAAGGGGGACATGACCCCTGACCCGAAAATCCAATGCACGATCCAGCCTCCCAAAAGTTTATGCAACCAAAGGGTTGTGAGTTATAACAATCAAAACTTTGGCTCTACGCTATTCAATGGAATAATGGAAAGGGCGATTTGAAAATCATCTGAGGGGTGGCTTTGAACTCCACCATAAGTATGATTACTTCCATCCCAGACCAGCTTACTAAGTCAAGTACGTTATGTGGCACCAAGTGTCTAAGCAGGTCCGAGTAAGGCATCCAAACTAAGAAATCCTCAAGAGAAATTTTATTTCAAATGAGCCCCGATACACAGAAGTACCTTAGCCACGTCAACTAAATGTCGTCCAATCGGGAACGCTCAGGTGTGATGCATAAGGTTTAACTCTCACAACTCAAATCCCACAAATTACAAACCCTAAACCAAACGAGTAGAGAACCCACAACAAACAGAGAATGTTCTCCCAAATTGTTCTCTAATTCACAAATTTATTTTCACCAAATTGCCAAACAAAAGAGCCATGTGTTTGCCACGCATTCATGACTCCGAAACCCAACTAGAGAAAACTCTCTAAAGCAATGGTGACGACACTGTAAACTAAACCCTAATCAAATAGGTAATTAATAAAATCTCTCCACCAAACAGGGAATCCAACCAAGAGGTAATTAATAAAATCTCATCAAGTTTGTTAGTGAGGTTATTGGTTTCAGCATTCTGATTTGATAGCTCTTCTCGTATCCTCCTGTACTCATTAACCAAAAGAATGAACAAGGCGAGTGAATTTCATAACTCAAACAGAGATTTTGATGAACTCAGAGAATACTATGTTTATTTAACGTATTCACTTACCCTCTTTCCAGGTTCAAGTCCAACCGCTGTCCTGCAGTAACTTTGTCGATTTCATACCTGCATCACAATGAAAACATTTGCACTGTGATAACGATTATAGAAAGCAAACACATATTCACATGGAAACAGACAAAAAATTACAGTAACTCCATTGATCAGACCTCAATTCACTCCGCATCTTCTCTATATCATTCCGAAGTTTTTCAGTCTCGTGTTGCAACAAAGAAAAATGGTGTCCCTGCATAGAACCAATGGCAGATATTTAGTGTAACTGAAAATTAGATACAAGTAGCCATGCATTCATGTCTACTGATGTATACGTGATCTTGGAGACGACAACATCAGTTGAAACCCAAAATGCAGTCCAACTAGAAAACCATCAATGATTTGGCGACTTTTATACACAGGAAAAGCGCAGATAAAAACCAATTACAAAGCTTATTATAGAAACGTCAATCAGGCATAAAGTTCGCATACAAACGAAATAGTAAAAAGATTTGAACGGCAACTAGAACAGAATCATCCACAAATCGACATATCAGGAAAAAAAAATTCAACAACTAAACACAAACCACGATCTCATGGTAATGACTAACGGAAAGAGCTGTTAAGTACCTGCGCACTTTGAATTTCGGATTTGAATTTGGACAAGTTGGATTCTTGGATCATCTCCGTCTATAAACAATTACGCAGAACATACATTCAAATACAACCATCATGATTTGATGAACGACAACATACACAGACGTAATCATTAAACGGGAAGATTAGAGTACACATGAAAGCTCCTTACTTTCTGCATCTCTCCTTTTGTAACAAATGAATGAGACACATTTTCCAAGCTGTCATTCAAAACTTCAGTAATGGCAGATGTTATTGCCTCCGCGTGCTTCGAGGGCACGCCTTGTCCCTCTAATCTCCTAAGAGCAGTTCCACCGTGGTGTATTACCCGGTGGACTGGCGATGGAACAGGGCCAAATAGGCCCGGGGATAAGGTCCAGCGTATGCTAGCCCGAGGGACAGGCCAGGCCCGAGCGACAGGCCCGGCAGGGATTGCCAGCCCGAGAGCCCGAAGGGAATGTGACGTGGGCTGACGTCAGGACGATGTCAACCATAATATAAAATTAATATAAATATAAAATATTAATATAAATTTAATAAATTAATAAAAAATTTTAAAAAATGAAAACCTAGAACTGCGGCTCGCCGGAGTTCGTCGCTGATACACCCACAGACAAATGGCAAAGACTAAACCCAAGGATTTCAACTCGAAACACATAAAAAACCAGATAATAACTCAAGCAATTGAAGTAGTGCAACAACCTCATCTGGGTTTGAGCAATGGAAGCTTGAAGCTCTCGGCTTCAATGGTGGATCACCCAAATGGTGCTCTAATGATGCATGCAAGGATATATTCGAGTTCCTCTCAACCACGGGATTGAGATTTCAAAGTTTGTTTGTTTGATTTGCTTCAGTTTCGAATAAGAAGAAGGATGAAAAGGAAAAGGAAGGATATATGGATCGGAATCTGAGCTTATGCCTTGGCGTTGGTCCATTTTGTGATTCGTGTGTGTGTGTGTGTGTGTGTGAGAGAGAGAGAGAGAGAGAAGGAATAGGAAAAGGAAGAGTTTCTGGAAAAAAAACAAAAAGAAAAGGAAGTGTTGTGGAAAAAAGTTGAAACGGAAGAGGAGTAGGAAAAAGGCAAAAGGAAAAAAATTAAAAATTATTTTGTATTATTTTATAAATTAAAAAAATACTAATATTTTATTATCAATTGACAAGGCTATTTAGTGTAGGGGTGGAGATGCAAAAGGCGATTACTGTTCATTAAGGGCAATTATGATTCACCACGTGGATTGAATAGTGAATTCCCTGGGGAAAAGTCTCTCACGCTGGAGTTGCTCTAACCTAAACACAATTCAGCATATAATAAACAACAATTACAACCTCTCTAATCTCACTGTAAATTTTTCATCACTTGACTTTGCACAATCATGCAATTTTCAAAAAATTCAAATTACCATATTTCTAAAGAGAAAGCGATTCGATTACTTACCAACGCTAATGTATCGACGACAAACAACCGCCTTCCATTTGATTTGACCAGTTGAGAAGTCAGCCTGCAATCCAAATACCTGTACTCCAACGACGGAGACACCGCTTTCGAGGCACCACCGGCCCCTCCGAAACCGGATAATCCGATCCCCGACCCGGTCCCCAGTTGGGCTGACCCGTCTGCAAGCCGCGGCTGCGGCCATTCGAATTCGATTCCGCACCTGATTCCCAAATAACAAACAAATTTAATGGCAAACATGTGGCTCTTCCAAAACGTAAAACTAAATGGAAGGTGACAACCGCTTAGTACTACAGCCTAGTGGTATTCCGTTTTACTTGTAAATGAGAGTTTTTGAGTTCGATTCTCTCCAAAGGTAATTTTAAACCACATTATTGCTAGCTCTTTGTTAAACTTAGCCCACTTCCTCACACTTAGTGTAGATAATATTGTTTATTAAAAAAAATTAAAAGGTGTTAAAAAACCACACTAGCGGGAACTTGGCAATTTATAATAATATAAGAAGAAAATTGGCCAAAATAAACGTATAGCCGGAAATCGGCAGTAGGTACGAGTTCAATGGAGAATTGACAAAAAACTCGGCTCATCAGAGAGCAAAAGCAGCATATAAGAATTCGTCATTTTTATCACATTTACATTGTAATGACTTTGCCTTATCTTTCACTTCTTTTTATGACATTTCTTAAGATTACAAAAGCTAAAAAAGAATGGACCCTTTCCCAGTTTTCCCCTATTGGGATTTGTCATCGTTAACTATAGAACAAGTTTACTTTAAGATACGAAGTGCCGCAAGACCGACAGTAGATATCGAAACAAGAGAACCTATATGTGCAGTATTTTATGACATCGTATTTTGCTGCTTAAAATAAAAAACAAAATCAAACAGTAGCACAAATTTTGCATATAAAGGGCACCATAATATCTCGTCCAACTTAGCAACATTTTGAGTTGCCCTACCACTTCTACCAATCATACCCACAAAAAAGGTGAAAAAAGGAACAAAAGAAACGCACACAATATGGATTCTCTTCTGCAATCCTTGCAGCCCTTACAATCCATGACACCACTCCTATTCCTCCTTCCTCTAATTTTCCGTTTCCGGCGAAGACCCCCGTACTTGCCCGGCACCAAAGGCCTACCCCTCATTGGTAACATGTTAATGATGGACCAACTAACCCACCGGGGCCTTGCCAAGCTGGCCAAGCAATACGGCGGCATATTCCACTTTCGCATGGAGTTTTTACACACAGTTGTCATTTCCAACCCTAACGTGGACAACAAGTCCTCCAAGTCCAAGACAACATCTCCAATTAACCGTGTGTAAAAACCTCATGCGGAGGTGGAATATGCTGCATAGTAGAAGTGGTAGGCAACTCAAAAATGTTGCTAAGTTGTAAGAGATTGATATATTGGGGCCTTTTATATGCAGAATTTGAGCTACTGTTTGATTTATTTTTTATTTTGGTGCTATTGGGTCAGCTATCTAGAATTAAACTAATTCAAGGATTTGTATTTTCTGACTTTGCCTTTCTTTTTTTAACAAATAATAGTATCTACACTAAAATGGTGGAAGAGCGGGCTAAATCTTACAATGGGCTTGTTATAATAATGCGGTTCAATTTTGCCGTTGGCGATAATCAAACCCAAGACCTCTTACTTACAACTGAAAAAAAATATCATTAAACCGTAGTACTAAGTGACTTATCTTTAATATTGTTGGTTTCTTTTTGTCTTTAGGATAAAACCCTAATTGGCTGCTATACCTAACCCTCTCTTCAACATGAAGCGACTATACCTAACCCTCTCTTCAACATGAAGCGGCTATACCTAACCCTCTATTCAACATGAATCATGATTGAATTCTTCAAAGTGAATCGCGCATGAATTCTTCTTCACGTGAATAGTGAATGAATTCTTAATTCATTCGTAATTAAGTATATATTGTATGCGAAAGGTGAATGGTGACAGATTTGATTCTGGACCTTATGATTAGCCATACCAAGTGCTGTCAAGGAATTTAGACATTAACTCCAGCCATTGATCACGGTTTTATTTCGCCATTGCATGTTTTAGCATCACCATAACATCTTTTATTAGTTTAATAATTCTTCCGGCGACATGGGACTTGGTTTGATATTCTCCCACTTCTCACTTAATATTCATTTTTATATGATCCGTGTGAACCACACTTTGAAATGCTTACGTCTTTTAACTGAAAATTAACCTCAAAGCACTGTTGAAATATGTACTAATTACAGCGAAATTTAAAAAAAAAAAAATCACACATTACCTTGGACATGTAGTTAAACTAAAATAAGATCGATATTAGTCAATAGTGAGCGCTGTACTTTTTCAAATCTTTGATAAGCACCGGAAACGCTACATATTAGTTGAAATCATTTCATGGCCAATACTCTATAAATGTGTCTAAATCACTACATGACTTAGTTCCCTAAAATTAAAGAAATACTGAAGCACTGAGTTGTGGTAGCAGACCAAGTGCCTGCCACTGTTGGTATTCTGTTGCTAGTTAGCTTCCTAAAATAGACACATCAAGTTAGCTTCCTAAAGTAGACATATTTTTAACCTTTTTATAACCTTAATAGTTTTTGTATAATCTTAATGATCTGGAGTCCTCGCAAGAGCAAGAGAGACTACACCCTAGTTTGGTACTGAGGTGATTCTGAAAAAAGTGGTTCTCAAAAAAAGATGGGAGCTTTTTTATGTTTGGTAAACATTCAGCTTCAGTTTTTTTTCACAGTTTTGGGTGAAAAAAAAGCCAAAAACACAAAGTTGCAAAACCTAGCTTTGAAAAACCAGCTTTTTTCACATCTGTTTTACATAAAAGTTTATCAAACACTATAATACTGTTTTTTTTTTTTTTTTTCAAAAGCACTTTTACAAAAAAGTTTACCAAACACTCTGTTACTTTATTTCACAACTGCTTATTCTTATAGCACAGCAGAAGCAGTTTTTCTTCAAAACACATGACTAGGTATTCACCGAGGAAAATTCTGCCTCGCATCTCTAGCAAGATTGTCACCAGGGCCAGAAGTAGCTTTTCTCGACAATCGAGTCGGCATCTCCGCTTGAGAAATTCTCTCAATCTAGTTTAAGTACTTCCGCAGTGATTCCGACCCAAATTCTCACATTATGCATAATCAAAATGCCACGACATTGTACAACACAACGACACATGAATGAGCAAGATGTTCTCATCCACTCTAGAGGGACCTGCCATGAGATGGTTCTCAGATTTTCCAACCCCTTTTTTTCGATTGTTTGAAAGCAAGCCGACATCCTCGCAGAAACTTACTTAGAGAATCGCATCTGGAAACGTCATAAAGCCATATTCAGCATGCCGCTCGAAACAAAGATGAAAGTCTCAAGGCCTCCTTAAAGTGGTTCCATGATGAGTTGGCTGAACGGGGAAAGCCTGACGACAAACTCGCTGCCATGGCTTTTAAGCAGGGACTCTACGTCCACTCACCTTTTTTTCAGAAGCTGAACAAAAAGAAGTATGGCTACTCTACCTTGGCAGAGTGCTTTGACCTGACAGATGACCTCACTGACTAGGATGATAAGACTTGAAAGGTCCTCAATCATGATCACAACAAAAACCCTAATGGGAAGAGGGAAGATCGTGACATTCCACCTCCCTCTCCTCGTCAGGATGACAAGAGAGGACGTAGAGACAAGCCAGCCTCATCCATGTCAAGGTTATACACTGCCTTGAACACTACTATCATTAACATCCTTCACAGCATCATGGAAAAACGTTACCTTTCCTCAAGTGGCCAAAGCCCTTCCCGGAACATCTAGCACAAAAAAGGTCGAACAAATATTGCTTCTTCCACCAATGCACTAGTCACACCACTCGAAACTATAGCACTTTGAAAGACCACAATTGAAGAGCTTCTTGCACCATGAATGAGGAATCCGTTAAAGGGAAAGACCAAAGTCAGTTTGACTGGCACAAACTTACTGATGGTGAGGATGACATAGCAAATAAGCTACCATCAACATCAACTGCATCTATGGAGAACAGGAGATGCCCAAGTAAAGAAAAGCTGGCAAATCCGAGCAAAGTTAGGGATTCCGACTACCTTGATGTGGACCATCCTCAAGTGTCGTCAGACTAACTAAAATAACCTTTTTTTTATCAAAACTACACGTAGTTTGATTCTTCGATGACATGGGAAAATATGTAAGCCATCCGTTTCGATTTCAATTACAATTAATTTAAACGTCGTAGTCTGTGAGGACAAGTCCATAAAGAACGCATGTGCTCAATGCCTCACAATAGGCTATCGTCAAAGATGATCCCAATGTCAAACCTACATTGTATCATTTTTTTTAAAGTAAAACTACACTATTGATTTGATTCTCTTGCCTGGAGATATGTAGGCAATCCTATTTGAATTCAATCACACCCTCTTATCAATTTACCATATTTAATTTAAATGTTTGACTACGCTACAACTTTTGTCTATTTATTCATGTAAACACGAAAAATTCCTGAAAACAAGAGACAAGAATACGTGTACAAAATATATTTTTGTATTAATGATTTTTTAGGGTTACAATCTTTTTGTAATTTGGTCATCTGATTCTATCTTCGTAGGGTGTAGGTTTGTGGATGAGTTGTTGATCCAAAGGGCCGTCGGGGCTTAATCTAAGGATGAACAGTTGATGAATGGATCTTCAAGGGGCGTTGGGCCTGATCTTGAAGAATGGGTGTATGAGTTTGTTGAGGTTGTTGATCCAAAGGGCCGTTGGGGCTTGATCTTAGGATGAACGGATGATGAATGATGAATACTTTCTTCAAGGGGCCGTCGGGGCTTGATCTTGAGTTGGTGGAAGTTCTTCAAGGGCCGTTGGGGCTTGATCTTGAAGGTTGATGGATGAGCGGATCTTCAAGGGCTTTTGGGCTTAATCTTGAAGAACGATTGGATGTGTGGATTTGTTGAGGTTGTTGATCCAAAGGGCCGTTGGGGCTTGATCTTAGGATGAATGGATGATGAACACTTTCTTCAAGGGCCGTCGGGGCTTGATCTTGAGTTGGTGAAAGTTCTTCAAGGGCCGTTGGGGCTTGATCTTGAAGGAGGATTTGACGAAGAACGAAGAGTGCTTTATTGATCCTTCGGGATTTGCTTGAGAGCTTTAGAGTTTCAAGGATTGAAGGTTTTGGTGTAATGTAAATTCCTCTTTCTTTCTTCCTTCCTTCCTTTCTTCCTCCCTTCCCCTTTTTTTTCAAATGAATGTCTTGGCTTCTATTTATAGAATTCTAAGACTTGATTTTTGGATTTAAATAATCAGATGAAATAAATCATTTCTGCCAGGTATTGACACGTGTCCTATTTGATGACTTTTCCAATTTATTTCGATTTTTCGTTGAATCACATGCTACATGTAAAATTTATGTGACACGTGAGCGTTGAAATTTTAATTATTGGTCAACATTCATTTCACCGAAATTTTGATGTCTACAAATGCCCCCACTTCAAGGCGCGTCGTAGACATGTGTTTGTCACGTGTAGAAGATGCGTTTTGAAGTCCCTTAATGTAGATGTCAACCCAAGGGCCGTCGAGGCTTGATCTTGAATTAGGTTGGAAATTTCTTCAAGGACCATCGAGGCTTGATCTTGAGTTCGACTAGAAAATTTTCTGGTTTCCTCCAATCGTTGATTTTCCGCAGGCTTAATCTTGAACTGGGCTGGAGGATTCTTTTGGTCTCCTCCGAAGGTCTGAACTTACTCCTTTTATCTGGAGTTGAATTTGATTCAAGGGTGGTAAACACTTGATTTTGAATCAGACTTGTGATTTCTTCAATGGCCATCGAGGCTTGATCTTGAATTGGAAATAAGACCATGAGTGGTTTCAGGATTCAGACACATGGCAGGCAAGCACGAGGTGGAGGTGATGACCTGTTTCTTTGTTCAATCTTTCCAATTCGTATTGAAGAGGGTAGATCGGAAGACTGACTCCAAGTGCCGGCTGATTGCTCTTTTCACTTTGCCATGCGAGTAATAACAAGGACAAAGGAAAGGACATGAAGAAAGCATGATATGAGATACCTTTGCTTTTGAAGAAGCAGCGAATGAATCAGCACATATATTTGTTGTGCTTGTCTCCACATGCTTCGA